CCCCCAAAAAACGCCATGATCTCAATCAGCGGCACTTCGGCGGGAGGTCCTTCACTCCGAGCGGGAGTGAGGGACCCTCCGCCGAATTACTGCTGAATAGCTGGATGTGCCGCCCCTCTCCGGAGTGGCCGTCCCAAGCACCTTCTTGCTAAGCTGGTGCCTAGAGCCGGCCCTGACTACAGAAAGGCAGAAGTCAAGCTCAGAATTAAGAAGTGAGCAATCACTTGTACTTGTAAACCAGGAGAAATTTACCATGGGAAGGGAAACTTAACTCTTCACTATAGTTTATTCTAGGGAAAGTTAGAAATTAAATCCAGACTTTCAGATAATCATTTTATTATTTTTTCTCTTTAGTCTGCTACACCAACAATGGGAAATACTGACTTATGGAAAACCTTACGTTATTTAAGTTTGTTGTATCCTTCTCAAAGAGAGCGTAACATTCTTCTTTTATCCGATGGGCACATTCAGAATGAGAGCATGACCTTCCAAATTGTGAAAGAGAATGTCAGACACACCAGGTTATTTACATGTGGTGTTGGGTAAGTACAGAATGAATAAACAGTTGTACTGTGCTGTGCTTCAGGCTTAAAAATCACTGATCATTTTACTTGAAATGAAATGTCAATGTGTTGAGGATCATCAGGTTTGTGAATGTGCTGTGTTTATCATGTACATATAGATGGAATGCAAAAAGTGAATGCCACATTCTACTATTAAAATAAAAAATTCCAGGAAATTCAAATTCGAGATTCCTTCAGTAGAATTTACTTTGCACATATGTAGTTTTGTCTATTTCTCTCATTCTTCTGAAATGTGTAATTTTAATATATTCCTGCTTAATATAAAAAGCATGCCTTAGAATGGGAAAGTAGCTAACATTGCTGAAACTTTAACTTTTCCTGACTCCATAACTTTAATAATGCAGTAACATAGTTTTCTGCATTGATATTTTTTTAAAAATAAAGATTTAAAAAGAAATTACCATTGCTTACTAAAATAAGCACTTAATTGGTTCTAATTAGGCTTTGTCTAGAGTAGGATTTAAAGATGTGTTAAAAGGTGTCAGCTAACATGTTTTGACTAACATGTTGCAAAAGTCTAGGGCTTGTCTACATTAGAAAGTTTTATACCACTTTTGGTACAATCTCCTCTAGCGTGGCTGCAGTTATATTGGTATTAAAGTACTTTACACTGGTATAGCTATTCCCATATGGGTAAGGGAATAACGATAACATTACAAGTTACCTTTATACTGGTATAACTGAATCCATGCTAGGGCTCTTATGGTATAACTATTTCAATAAAAAAATTACACCTGACGTATTTATACTGATGTAGCTTTTAAGCATAGACCAGACCTCAAAGTATACTGTTAACATATTACACTGGTTGAGTTAAAGTAACAATGGTGAATGAGACATAACAGAGATAAGTTCACACCTTTCCTGATGCTGTTGTTTGAATAGAGACAGTTTTCTGCAAAGCTGAATTAACAGAGAAGCAGTGCATCTTTTTATATTGTGATGGTTGTATATCAGCAGCTGAAGAAAATAGATTTTTTTTAAGTGAAAGGTTAGAATTTTTAGAATATTGCAAAGTGCAGCAGCAGTTGTAAAGAGACTTTAAAATTGTGCAAGCCACACTTTCTCTCAGGCCTGTGAATTTTGTCCTGTTTTTGAGGTAAATGCAATTTTATTCCTTCTTCTTTATTTTTTTTTTTCCAGTTAATTTTCATCGTCAATGGTGTAGCATTTTTTTTAGCAGTAAGTTCTTTATCTTGAGAAAATGGGTTTATCAAATCCTATTTTCTTTTTTCCCTAATGCCACCCAACTTAGAGTTACAGATTATTTGAGACTTGTCTTCCATGTCATCCATTTTGTTAGGCAGTCTCTTTATTTTATACATTCATTGCCCTTCCCCTTCACATTACTTAATTACAATAGCTTCCATCCTTTATAAATAGATCATGCAAAATTCTGCATTACGTAAAAACTCTTGTCTGTTAAGCAATTTTGGCCCCACAATCTTGATTTAAGATCAACCATTTCCAGAAAGAATTGCTTGACAGTCCAAAATGAAATGCCAGTGGCTTTCAATGGAAGTAGGGCATCTATTTCATGTAGGCCCCTTTGAAAAACCCCTGCCTCAAAGATCTTACATCTGTTATGGAGAAAGTCAAGAATGCATTTTCCTTAAAACCCTCTGAACATGTACTTCATCCCTCATTTCACTACATCCAGTGGGAAACCAATGAGTTGGCTTTTCTCTGTGTGTGATTTGCACTAATTGAATGCTGAATTTTCAGAGGTAGGACGTGGGTTTTAAACCTATATGCACTGGGGATGAACATGGTAAACGCTGCTGCTCTTGGTTTTCACTCTTGACAGCATTAGAATAGTGATAAATATAAGCAACCCTCTGTCAGGATGGAGCATGTGTTGGATCTTGCCAGTTCTGAGCTTTGTTTAGTATAGATGTGAATGAAGGAGGGGGATTTAGAGAGATTGGAGAACTTGCTACTCTATTAAAAAAATGTAAATGTTTGGAATCAATTTCAGATGATCAGTTTTTACTTAAAAACCAAAAAAAATTATTTTAAAATGTGCTTAGTTCCACAGCAAATCATCACATGCTGAGATCTTTGTCTCAATATGGTGCTGGAGCATATGAATATTTTGACCCAAAATCGAAGTATAACTGGCTAAAAAAGGTAAGTTTTATCAATCCTGAATATATTTTTTCTGAATTTTACACTATTAGCAGCTGCTTTGGGTGGAACTTTTTGGGAGCCTCAAAGTTTCAAATTGGGAGGAGCATCTTTGGGGATTGTGAGGCCTTGCTGTTTCAGACAGGAGTACTCTTGGTGTTTTAACAGACGGAGAACTTCTTTATATTGGGGAATGGGGCTTTTGTGTCTCAAAGAGCAGTTCCCTCTTAAGTGAGACGTTGGACTCCACCTGAAAAGCAACTCCCTCTAACTTTCAGATACCATACCAGTTTCAGACCAGGGACCTCACAAAAAAGAGAAGCTTCTGAAATATCTTCCCACCCCTCTTCCTCTTTGACGTCTCTGATTTTTAAAATATAAGTTCATGTGGGTGAAAAGTGGTACTTCTCTCTCGCGGGGTATGTACACTCCATCCCATGTGCCGGGTCACATATGGGGAGAAGAAAGGAAAAAACTTTATAGCAGCCAGTTGGGTCCTGTGTTCGTGACCCTGACTATAAAACGTGGCAGTACAGTCTAATGGCCGGAGTCAATAAAGTGGCCCTTCCACTCAGGGCAGCGTGACCTAATGGCCAGAGTCAATGAGGGCGGCCCTTATACTCAGGGCAGTGCGGCCTAATGGCTAAAGTCAATAAAGGCTCCCACTTCTGGGGTATTATGTGGCCTATTGGCTCGCTGTGGTGTGTGGTGCCCAGAGCATGGGGACTCAGGCCTTCCTTGCTCCTTCGAGTCCCAGCCCGGGGCCCTGGTCATGGTGGAGGTGCTCACCACTGAGTCAGCAGGGATCCTCCCAAAACATCTTGACTGGTTCCCCGTCTCACTCACTGGAGAAAAGTCTAAATCCCCTGGGCTGCTTTCTACCCTTTCTCCCTCGGCGATGCTCCATGGTTCCCACAGGTCTCTAGGGTCCTCAAATGGCGTAGCTCCTGCCGGCGCAGTCTCTTCTCAGGGCTTGTCAGACAGCCTGGAGTCTGTCTGGAACTCTGCATGCCATAGCTCTATAGATGGGGCATGTAGCAATTCACTGGAGAGAGCCTGCAGTCTGCGTCCTCCCCCTTCAGCAGCCTGCCCAGACTGAGCTGAGCAGGCTGCTTCCTTTTATACTCTGCCTCCAGGCTGAACATGCCCAGCAAGGTTGGAGGGGCGGGGCTTCCTCAGCCTGCAAAGCACAGTTAACCCTTTCGGGGTTGGCATGGGGTAGGTCCCCCCCCCCCATCACATTCTCATTTTAGGAACTTGGTGGGGCTATCTCAGTAGTTTATGATGCTGAGGCCATGTTGGCTGCTACTCTTTGAGTAACCTCTGCTGGAAAGCTGCAGCAGTGTTCGCTTTCAACCAGAAACTTGTCAGTTTTCACTACTGTCTCGCCTTGTTTTTAATATAATTTACATTATGAGGGAAAAGGAGATGGTATTTGGTGTGAATAAGAACCAAGTTTCAGTTTTGTTCCTTGTTTACAACACTGAGAGAATAAAATAAGGTGAAAAAACTCCATGAATTTTATTTTATTTCTCTACTTTTAATGTCAGATTCTGTTGTACTCATCTTGATTAGGGCTCGGTCTACACTTAAAACTTAGGTCGACATAGCTACAGCATGCAGGGGTATGAAGGCCAAAAAAGAATTTGAAGAACAGCTAGCCAAAGACTCAAAAAGTAATACAAATTTTTTGTTTAAGTACATCAGAAGTAGGAAACCTGCTAAACAACCAGTGGGGCCACTGGATGATCGAGATGCTAAAGGAGCACTGAAGGATGATAAAGCCATTGCGGAGAAACTAAATGAATTCTTTGCATTGGTCTTCACGGCTGAGGATGTGAGGGAGATTCCCAAACCTGAACCATTCTTTTTAGGTGACAAATCTGAGGAATTGTCCCAGATTGAGTGTCATTAAAGGAGGTTTTGGAACAAACTAAACAGTAATAAGTCACCAGGACCAAATGGTATTCACTCAAGAGTTCTGAAGAAACTCAAATGTGAAATTGCAGAACTTCTAACTATAGTCTGTAACCTATCATTTAAATCAGCCTCTGTACCAAACAACGGGAGGATAGCTAATGTGATGCCAATTTTTAAAAAGGGTTCTAGAGGTGATCCCGGCAATTACAGGCCGGTATGCCTGACTTCAATACTGGACAAACTGGTTGAAACTATAGTAAAGAAGAAAATTGTCAGACACACAGATGAAGATAATTTGTTGGGGAAGAGTCAACATAGTTTTTGTAAAGGGAAATCACGCCTCACCAATCTACTAGAATTCTTTGAGGGGGTCAATAAGCATGTGGACAAGGGGGATCCATTGGATATAGCGTACTTAGATTTTCAGAAAGCCTTTGACAGGGTCCCTCACCAAAGGCTCTTAATCAAAGTAAGCTGTCATTGGATAAGAGGGAAGGTCCTCTAATGGATTGGAACTGGTTAAAAGATAGGAAACAAAAGGTAGGAATAAATGGTCAGGTCTCAGAATGGAGAGAGGTAAACAGTAGTGTCCTCCAGGAGTCTGTACTGGGCCCTGTCCATTTCAACATATTCATAAATGATCTGGAAAAAGGGGTAAACAGTGAGGTGGCAGAATTTGCAGATGATACAAAACTACTCAAGATAGTTAAGTCCCAGGCAGACTGGAAGGAGCTACAAAAAGATCTCTCAAAACTGAGTGACTGGGCAACAAAATGGCAGATGAAATTCATAGTTGATAAATGCAAAGTAATGCACATTGGAAAACATAATCCCAAATATACATATAAAATGATGGAGTCTAAATTAGCTGTTTCCACTCAAGAAAGAGATCTTGGAGTCATTGTGCATAGTTCTCTGAAAACATCCACTCAATGTGCAGCGGCAGTCAAAAAAGCTAACAGAATGTTGGGCATCATTAAGAAAGGGATAGACAATAAGACAGAAAATATCATATTGCCTCTATATAAAATCTATGGTATGCCCACATCTTGAATACTGCATGCAGATGTGGTCACCCCATCTCAAAAAAGATGTATTGGAATTGGAAAAAATTCAGAAATGGGCAACAAAAATGATTAGGGGCATGGAATGGCTTCCGTATGAGGAGAGATTAATAAGACTGGGACTTTTCAGGTTGGAAAAGAGATGACTAAGGGACGATATGATAGAGGTCTATAAAATCATGACTGGTGTGGAGAAAGTAAATAAGGAAGTGTTATTTACTCCTTCTCATAACACAAGAACTGGGGGTTCACCAAATGAAATTAATAGGCAGCAGGTTTTAAACAAACAAAAGGAAGTATTTCTTCACACAATGCACAGTCAGCCTGTGGAATTCTTTGTCAAAGGATGTTATGAAGACCAATGCTATAACAGGGTTCAAAAAAGAACTAGGTAAGTTCATGAAAGATAGGTCCATCAATGGCTATTAGCCAGGATGGGCAGGGATGGTGTCCCTAGTCTTTGTTTCCCAGAAGCTGGGAATGGGCAACAGGGGATGAATCACTTGATGATTACATGTTCTGTTCATTCCCTCTGGGGCACCTGGCATTGGCCACTGTTGGAAGACAGGATACTGGGCTAGATGGACCCTTGGTCTGACCCAGTATGGCCACTCTTATGTTCTTATGAAGAATCCGCGCCCCTGAGCACTGCAGTTATGCCAACCTAAACCCCTGGTGTAGACACAGCTAGGTCAACAGAAGAATACTTCCGTCATCCTAGCTACTACAGGTCTGTCGCATCTTATGTGCATTTAACGTGCGTGATTTCAACTTTACACGATCGGCAAAAATAACAATTTTAATACTATACCTGTAGTGCGGGTGATTTTTGCCTGCCATTGAACTCAATGGAATTTTGGCTATACGCGGTTTTTGCTTTACGCGCTAACTGCGGAACGGAACCCCCGCGTAAGATGAGACAGACCTGTATCTCTCGGGGAGGTGCCATGACAAGAAAACCTCTTCTTGTGATATTTTTCCTAGTAGAGTAACGTATTTAACTCATTTGCATCTTTTTACACAGATAGAAAGCCAGACATCCAGAATATTTTCTCCAGGATGCAGTTCTGTCTCTATTAAATGGCAACAGTTTGACTCAAATGCACCAGAGCCATTGCAGGCTCCTGCTCAAATACAGTCTTTATTTAACAATGAAAGACTTCTTGTCTATGGATTTATCCCACGTTGTACTCAGGTAATGAATGATACCAGGGAACATGTTTTTAAAGTTATGCATCTCATTACTCACAACTCCAATTCTATTTGCATTTCTGGAAACTGAGCATCACTGCAGAAGTGCTGATAGCACAGAATGATAGGGAAAAATGAGAGGAATACTTTTCTTATTTCTTTCAGGCCACCTTAAATGCACTAATAAATGACCAAGAATTGCAAGCAATGGTATCAACCACTGAATTACAGAAGACAACAGGAACAGTGAGTTAGGCCAATGTTATTTATACACACCATATATATGTTGTTTTAAAATAGCACATACCCTTGTTTTCGGCATTTTGGCTTCTACTGTTTTAATAAAGAACCTCAGCCTCATTTGAAGGAAGCTTTTAAAAAGGCAGCTGACCTATGTGGGATAAGTGAGCACATTTCCTGCATGTTTGCTGGCCCAGACTGATTTGAAAAATATAAACTTACCTGGGTGGAAGGTGGTTCTTCTCATTTTAGGAATTTGTTGGGTCTACCTCTGTAGTTTCTGTTGCTGAGATGATGTTAGCTGACCTCTGCTGGGGATGATGCAGCAGCATTCTCTTTCAATACTTAAGCCATTGCTTTTTGGAAAAATTCTAAAAGAACTGAGGCCTGATCTACACTATATAGTTAGACGACGTAAGGCAGCTAGTTATGACCTAATTATGTCAGTATACACACTAAAGCTTTGTCCCGCCGATGTAAGTGCCTTACTACACCGATACACTAACTCCACATCCACAAGAGGCATAGGGCATATGTGGGTGTAGTTAGGGCAATGCAGTGTCTGTGTAGATACCTCTTTACTTACATTGTCTGTTGGCAATTTCAGGGCTCCATGCTGGAACCGTGAAATTGACGAAAAAGCTCAGGGAGGCGAGAAGCCCAGGTGGCTGGCCCCCGCTCCCAGTGGGGAGGCGAGAAGCTGAGAACCCGGTTGGCAACTGGCCTCAGCTCCCAGTTGGGAGGCAAGAAGCCGAGCTGGCTCCTGGCGGTGAGCTGCACAGAGCTGAGAGTCCTGGCTTTCAGCCCCCCACACTACCCCTCTTCAGTCTGTGGAAGTGCTCCTGGTGAGGTTGCGCACCACCGACAGAAGAGTACTGTGGACATCAGTCACTGCAGTAATTATTGAGGTGGCTGTAAGTCAACCTAACAAAGGTCAACTTAAATCTGTAGTGTAGACATGCCCTGAGAGAGGAGGGATCCTAAAAGGCAGCACTATCCAATGTGAACAAAGGCTGTGACTGTTTCAGTTAATGTTGAAGAAACTTCAAATCCACTCCCTATGGGAAAGCATGGCAACTGTCCTAAATAACTTTCTAAACTGAAAAGAGGAAAATGGCTAAAAGGCATTTATTTACTTTTCAGAGCTTGTCTACTCCTGGAAATTCACCAAAATAACTATTCCAGAATAATTATTCATTAATAATTATTTTGAAATTGTTACTTTGATGTAAATTCATGTGCGAGCGTTTTTATTCTGGAATGAGAGTGCGTTTTTGCTGTTTAGCTTAATCCACTTTGAAAGCTATTTCAGTAAATTTCCAAGCTCTTATACAGACAAACTGGGTTGGTGCGAATGGGGGAGGTACTCACTTATCCTAATGAGTCAGGTACTCTTTAAACTACTGTCCTGAGAGGTTCAAATTCTCATCTGGGCTTCAGATCAGTATTCCTCTTCATGGGTCAAGTTTGTAGTTTGTACCTCTACAAATCATACTCCTTCTTTTGACCCCACGACTAATCAAAGGTGCAGAAATGACAAATGCAGTTTTGACAGGTGCAAATTGTGATTGCAAAAGAAGAAGCTGCCTTATGAAAATCTGGGCCAAATTTAGAAGATGAGTGTTATTTTTCTATGCCTCACATAGAATCGGAGAATTCCTGCCATTTTTTCCTTTCCCCTTTATCCAGAAAGATCCCTTTGTTGTGGCTACCAACATCTGGCCAAAAAGGACTCACCAGGGGTCCCCTTCAGAGTCAGTCAATGTTTTTTTTGTTTGTTTGTTTGTTTTTTTTTAATGGACCTAAGGAGATGATTGGATGACCCATTGCTCCATGTCCTTACTGGGCTGAGTTTAACAGTCTTCAGTACTCCCACTCCCTGTTGGCTTTAACATATTACAGATGTACAGATTATTTTCCTCCTCTTGGCTAGAGAGGTGCAGTTGAAACAAATTACATCACCAGTTTGCATAGTTCACTGTGCCCCAGAGCAGGAATTATTGATGGTATAAAGGTATGATGATTTTTAAAAGTTAAAAAAATGAGCACTAATCATAAAAATACAAAATTATTTGAAACAAGGTGTGGGCTGTAATGCTCCTCTATGGAAAATACTCCCTTGAAACTTTTAACATTTAGATGCCAGTTATCCTGAAACTGGATCATCATTGATCAGAAGACTTTAAAAATCATAAAGCCTAATACATAAAATTGAGATTTTTAAATACAGGGTTTTAAATTGGTGATCATTTGAACTTGTCTTTTTTCCTTAATGTAGCTTCTCCACAAACTCACAGCAAGAGCCCTCATTAGGGATTATGAAGATGGGATACTTCATGAAAATGAAACAGAACATGAGGTTTGTCATTCTAAAGATAAGAATATGAACTAGGAACCACTATTTTATCTCAGTTTATGCTTAAAACAAGAACTGTTAAAGGGGTTCAGTGAAATGGGGATGGGAAAAGGAGAGGTGGAGAGAATCTTTGACTTGGGAGTGGAAATTGGAAGGTTGCAGTATGAATTCCATAGATTTTAAGGCCAGAATGGACCATTATGATCATCTAGTCTGATGTCCTGGATAACACAAGCCAAAAAAAAAATATGCCCAGTAACTTCTGCATCAAGCCCATCACTTCTGTTTGAGCTCAGGGCTGGCTCCGGGCACCAGCGCAGCAATCTGGTGCTTGGGGCGGCCCGTGGAAGGGGGCGGCATGTCCAGGTCTTCAGCTGCGGGTCCCTCTGTCCCTCTCGGAGGGAAGGACCGGCTGCCGAATTGCCGGTCTTTTTTTTCCGTCCGCTTGGGGCGGCAAAAAAGCTGGAGCCAGCCCTGTTTGAGCTATAGAATATCTTTTAGAAAGAGAGAGAGTCTTGATTGAAAACCTTCAGGTGATGGTGAACCCATCACATCCCTAGATAAGTTGTTCCACTTAGTTTCTGTTAAAGAGTTGTCTACTGTCAGAAATCTTTACCTCATGTAGGTACTTGTAGACTGTGATCATGTCACGTCTTGACCTTCTGTTGGATAAACCAAATAGATTGAATTTCTTAAGTGTCTCACTAGAAGGCATGTTTTCCACATCTTAAATCATTCTTGTAGCTCTTTTCTGAACACCTTCCAATTTTTCAACATTCAGTTTCACATATGTTTATAGACATGAGGGCATAATCCTGTAAACCTTTACTTGCTTGTATGTGTGAGGGTCTTATCCTGCAAACTTTATTCACCTGAGTAGTCCCACTAGAAGTCAGAGTTCTAGAAGCCAGTAGGACCCTGATGTGAGAAAAGTTTGCAGGAGTAGGTCCCAAGCTTTGGGGTTAGACTGAGGGAAAATATAGTAGTGGTACTTTTCACAGCTCTGCCTAAAAAATAAGCTCCATCCATGTGAGTTGGGTGTAATGCTGCATCACAGTAAATTGTCCAGATGTTTAAAATATGATGGTGCGTGTTTTCAGAGCTCTACTAGTCTCCTTGAGCTTGTCTCCTCCTCACTGGGACTTGATTATGCCCATGTGCTCTTCGGCAAATTGGGGTTGATTGGGGGGAATAAATAAGTGATGGTACCTTCCAAATGCCATCCTCTTGAGGCACCAAAGTGAGACAGTTAATTCACAGATAGTAAATTTTGCAAATCTGTGGCACCCCCATACTGCTTTCTTACAAATAGTTAACATTGTTGACATTTAAATTATCGTCATTGGGCATTTGAGGTAACACCTCACTAAAGTGAGTGCATGGGGGGGCCAGTCACACGTTTCAGAGCTACTGGTCCATGCTCTGCATACCAACAGAAATCTCCACACCCGTTACACTCAGTTCACATTTCTAAGATTTTCTTCACAGCCATAACAGCTAGAGGCTTACTTTATTTTCATTCAATGAAAGCTGAGATTCTGAAGAACAAGATTGTTTGTTGTTTTCAGAGAGGTCTCAGTATATTGTATGTCTGTGTACAGGATGTTTCTGAGTCCTGAACAGGCTTGAGCATTTTCAATCCTGACTTGACACAAATTGTGTCCCATAGGTGCAAGGTATTTTGCTTTAGTTGTGCTGCTGACATGCTGCCCTTTAGGTTTCAGTAATGACGGTCATTGATCTAGGATCTGATAAGGAGTCCTATGCTTGCACTGGAAGGAGCTGGAAGCCCAATGGAGCCCTGAGTGATTTGTGACAAGACCATTCCAGTGCAGTTTTTCTTTAAGAATTACCATTTCCAGTTTCCTCTCCCCCAGCACAAGTGGATAAATCTGCAAGTAGCTGAGAGGGTTAGGATTAGCCCCTTTCCCTTCAAAACACTTTTAAACAGGAAGCAGGGAATTGGGTACACAAACATAACCACATAAGCTCTGCTTAGAAATAGCTGCAAGCTGAGCTAGTTTACTTCTGTCCATAGTGCATAAGAACATATTGTGTATATTCAGTTTTGACATTGACACTTATTTTAGCTAATATTGTTTTGACTGTATGTTTTGTTTTTAAACATATTTTGTTATTATATAACAACCTAGATGAAGAAACACACTTTGAAAGTCCTGATTATTAACCTCAGCGTGGAGCACTCCATCATAACCCAGTTTACAAGCTTTGTGGCAGTAGAAAAAAGGGTATGTGTTTCCATTAAAATATCCCATTACAGTCTGTATGTCTCTAAAAAGTCTTTAGAAAATAACTGAAAAGAAAAACAATTACTGTAATCTTGTAATATTAAACAATATGTGCTTTAATTCTTATCACAGTGAACAATTTTAGTTATTTTACAGAAGAACTAAAATTATTATTTTTGCAAAAGCTTGTGTTCTTTGGTCCTTTTTGAATGATATGTTACTTTCTTTATGAAGCTTCTTTTATATCATACGTTGTTGGAGCACCTAGGCATCCAAACAAAGTCTGTGTCTGTCCTACCCACTACCCAGACTGGATGTTTGCAAGTGAACCAACAGAGAGGCACAATCTCTATGTTTATTTTGAAGATACTTGCTTTTTTAATGATTTAGAAACGGCATTTTTCTCTTTGTATCTGTGTATGTATGTGGCAAAGTTCAGAACTGTGCAAGTGTTCTGACTTTTGGACTATATCTGTAGGCACAACTCCTATAAAGTCACTATCTCTGGTCCAGAAAGAACTTTTAAATCTAGTAGAACAATACTCTTACAATGTATTGCTGCAACTGTAATTGAAAGAAACTGTTTGGGTTGCAGGCAGCAAGGACTGCGTCTTCCCATATGTCTGTACAGCATCTAGCACATTAGGAACTATTATAATATAAGTAATACTGATCGTTATTAATTATTATTATTTATTTAGGATTATAAGTATACTAAAGGAAAATAATCAATTCTCTATTACGGTATAATTATCTGACTGTCATGGAGGGCATTGAGTAAGTTGGGATAACTTAAGGAACAAGAGACATGTCCATATTTTGGACAATTACATTTATACTGCATTTCAAACTAAAAATAGGCTGGCACAGATTTTGTTCATAGAAATAAGTATTGTTTTGTTTGTGCCTTTTAAGAATATAACTTACACATTTGATAGATGTCATCGCATGTATAATATCCCAGCAATCCTGTATAATAGTTATTGGTGGAATTATTGTCCCTTTCTTGTAAACACGGCTCCTTAATCAGCCAAAGATTTACTGTTAAGCTCTGTGCGACACTCTCTGTACTATCTGCTCTGCACTTGGTCACTAACTCCCTAGCAAGAGACTAGTCAGAGCTTTCACTCTTCGGGCAGTTCTTGTCTCTGATTTTCAGACAATGTAATCATCTCTGTCATTACCTCCTAGTAATTATCTTTATATAATACAAATTTTATAAACAAAGTGCCATTCTACTCAGGCTCTCTGATTACTGCGAAATATCATAAACAACAGTTAAACTTAAACAGTATAAACTTGGCACTATAAAATCAGATAACATGCTAAAAAGCATACTGGTTCCAATATGTTGGAAAATATCTTTCCCATATATAAGTATAATAAAGCAGGTCATGTGTCTTGTTCATATATGAGAAAAAAAAGGAAATTTAAACATCACCTTTGTATATTAGGATTCTGTACATTCATCTACCATATTTCAGACCACTGCATTACATTCTCACAGAAGAAATATTCTCTTTTCTTTTCGTAATCTACAGTATGTTGGTGTTGGTTGCTCTTAACCATTGACTTGTATAAGGAAGTTGTGATGGGGAAGTGACACATGAGTAACAGCTGACATACAAAATTTTAAACTGTTTCATTGATCTGCCTTTGAAATTGAAAGCAAGTGAGAGGGTAATTTCTGAACTGAAGTTACATAAGATGCAGAAGAGGTTTCTCAATATACAAGGCAGTGCATTGCCAGTGTAGTGTGCCAGTCCGTTTACTACCAATAGTGTGTTATGATACGACAACCCTTAATGCAGTCAGGCAAATTTCACCCAGCATTTGACTCTCAACCTTACATTCTCTGATAGACAGGGAATCTCTGGCATAACAAGCATCACTTTTAAGGATTACAATAAAATTAAAGACAGTTCTCTAGTTTGTAATTCTGTTGCGTTTTAATTTAGGATGTTAATGAAGTTCAGCATGCTGGCCTTCCAAACATTCTTGAACTTATAGCTGAGGAAGATATAGACTTTTTACCCTACATGGACTGGGAGCATGATACATCTGGACATGGATACGTGTTTTCTAATAGAGGAGTGGGATTTGGCAGACGTAAATTGGTAAATATGCTTAATGTGTTCTTGTTTTTAACATTTGTTGTGTATTACCCAGTTGTGGTAGTAGATGGTTTATAAGGTAGCAGTTGGTAATTGTTTATAAAGTCTGCACCATTTCTTATTATTCTGGATTTTTTTTTTAATTTTATTTTATTAGAGTACTTAGATGGTGGTACTTCTGTCCGTGGTACTTCAATAAGTACAATACAACTAACTGTCCAGCGTAGCCACCCTGAATCAGGGTCAGACTTGTTCTTGTATCCATACCAAGGCTCCTTACATCAATTTAGGTGTGGGATGTCACATATCCCTCAGCTGGTAAACCTCCTTACTTTGCTGGCGGAGTCCTCCTCTCTTACATCCACCATGCCTCATTCAGCACCCACAATACCCCCACAAAATACTGTTACCCTGCGGTGTGGCCTCCCTTCGATCCAGAGGGGAGGAACTACTTTCTGTGCCCGGGTGGGTGGAGTCAGGCCGGGTTCACCCTTCTCACTGGGAGTTGAGAGACAGGATGGGAAGTACAAAAGGCAGAACCTTCAGCTCAGTTGGCACCGAGCCAGGGAAGGAGACAGACGTATCTTGCTCGCTGCAGACCTCTTACTGTGCTGATGAACCAGGCGGTGCCCTGACCCCAGAGGAGACCGAGTCCAGGGAGGAGCTGCTGATGGCTAGCTACTTCGGGGAGACGGATGACACCTACAGAGCCAAGGTACTAAGAGGTAGTAGGAAGTGGCCCAGGGACACTAGAGTATAGCTTGGTTGCCTGAATCCAGGTCAGTGTGTTTCGGGCGGATCCCCATTGACCCAGTGACAGAACATTCTGCTACTTACAGCCTGGGACTGGGAACCTGTGGAGTAGGGAGGGCCTGGGTTCCCCTACCCCCTTGTGCTAACCCCACCCAGGAGTGGCAGCCTCCCCACCATAGGCAAAAAGACCTGTGTTTGTCTTCTGTCTGCCAGAGCTGAGGTAACAATCTGTGTAGTGTTCTGCCCAGCCCAAGGGCCAGAGCCCACATACTGTTTGGTGCGCTGCCCCACCGAGAAGGTTGGGGCATTAGCACCTGATTTGCTAATTCCCCTGATGTTAAGCAGTGATCCCAGTGACATAATGAGGTGGTGTGGCTTCCCTCCGACCCAGATGGGGAGGGACGACCGTCACCACACTACATACCCCTTTTTGACCCAAGCAGCTAGTCAAAATTTGAGGCCCTGGAGATATTCCAGTTGGGGGTAGAAATTGATGAAAGGCGCTGCATCAAAAAATACTGATCTTGCTTATTAACAAGGAATGTACAACGTCCTGGGTCCCCGAAGGCAGGAGGAACCAGGAAACAAAAAACAGTTTCTTTGCTTGTAGCCCCAAGCCTCCTTGGGTCTAGTGCTAGCTAAAGTTCTCTTTCCCTAGTTTTTTCCAGGGTCTTTCAGGCTGCTGGTTCGCTCTCTTGCTGTTTGCCTCTTTGGGATTGGGTGTGAATGCACCCCACAATTAACGTAACTGGCAGGATATGTTAAGCAGGAGCCCCTGCCCACCCAAGACAAAAGCAGTTGTGAACCCGCCCAGGGAACATACATACATTCTTTGCCCAAACCCCATTCACTACTCAGTCCAATACTCCTGGATGGATTCACAACCCCTTTTGTTTTAGGTGAGGAGGTCATGCTTAACTTATCCTGACAGTCATGTTAATTGTAAGGGTGCATTCACATCTAATTTCAAAGATGTTTTAACTAAGCCTATAACAAAACCTTCCCTTCCACCCTGCTGTACACATCCTCACCCAAGATCCCACTCTGGATAAGGTCCTGTGTAAATCATAATTTCATGGATTACATGGAAATTGTGAAATTAGCCCAATACCATGATTTTTCCTACAGCCCGGAGACTGTTGGAAAAATCATGGAATTGGGCTCATTTGGCTGCTCATGGGGAGGAGAGGGGGAGAGCATTGTCCTGGGGGTGGAATGTCTCACCATGTGGCACTGACTGGCAGGCCCGGGGCAGGGATTGGGGCCTGTGCTCAGTTTCATAGAATCGTAGGACTGGAAGGGGTCTCGAGAGGTCTTTTAGTCCCATTCCCTGCACTTAAGGCAGGACTAGGTATTATCTAAACCATCCCTGACAGATGTTTGTCTAACCTGCTCTTAAAAGCCTCCAATGATGGAGATTCCACAACCTCCCTAGGCAATTTATTCCAGTGCTTAACCACCTTGCCAGTTAGGAAGTTTTTCCTAATGTCCAATCTAAACCGCCCCCATGCTGCAATTTAAGCCCATTGCTTCTTGTCCTATCCTCAGAGGTTAATGAGAACAGTTTTTCTCCATCCTCCTTGTAACAACCTTTTATGTACTTGAAAATTGTTATTGTGTCCCCCACTCAGTCTTCTCTTCTCCAGACTAAACAAACCCAATTTCTTTCATTCTTCCCCTTCTTGACCTTTAATCATTTTTGTTGCTTTTCTCTGGACTTTCTCTAATTTGTCCACATCTTTCCTGAAATGTGGCACTCGGATCTGGACTCAATACACCAGTTGAGGCCTAATCAGCACGGAGTAGAGCAGAAGATTTACTTCTTGTGTCTTGCTTACAACACTCCTGCTAATACATCCCAGAATGATGTTTGCTTTTTTTCCAACAGTGTTACACTATTGACTCATATTTAGCTTGCGATCCACTGTGACGCCCCCAGATCCCTTTCCATAATACTCCTTCCTAGGCAGTCATTTCCCATTTTGTAACTGATTGTCCTTCCTAAGTGGAGTACTTTGCATTTGCCCTTATTGAATTTCATTCTAGTTACTTCAGACCATTTCTCCAGTTTATCCAGATCATTATGAATTTTAATGCTATGCTCCAAAGCACTAGCAATCTCTCTCAGTTTGGTATCCTCCACAAACTTCATAAGTGTATCTCTATGCCATTATCTAAATCATTGATGAAGATATTGAACAGAACCAGACCCAGGATTGATCCCTCTGGGACCCCATTCGATATGCCCTTCCAGCTTGACTGTGAACCACTGATAACGACTCTCTGGGAATGGTTTTCCAACCAGTTATGCACCTAATAGTAGCTTCATCTAGGTTGTATTTCCCCAGACCACCACTGCTGCTTTCCTGTCTGGCCAGCTGGTGGGGACAGGGGATATCCCTGACAGTGCACAGAGATTAGAAGGCATGGTCCTACCAACAGCAGCCTCTAGCAGGCCGAAGAGAGACACTGCAGTGCTGGCTCTGCCTGGCTGGCAAGGAGCTGACACCAGGATCCGCTATTCGGAAAATGAGCAGGTATTTGAGGGGTCAGCGGGGATCAGCAGCCCTGCATAGCCCATGAAATTCAAACACTTACAGTGGTACTGCTGTGATTTTTGTTTTTGTTTGTTTGTTTTGTTGGGTTTTTTTTTAAAGCAAACTAATTTTTCTTCTTTGAATGATTGCTCATGTGTATTCCACTATAGGTGTGTGTGCTCGCCATGTGCACCGGTGCCGGAAATTTTTCCCTTAGCAGTACCCATAGAGGGGGAGCACCGCTGGGACCCCTGGAGTGGAGCCTCTATATCGTGCCATAAAGGGGGCTGCGTGCTCCCCCCCCCAGTTCCTTCTTGCCGCCAGTGAAGGTAGTCGGAACTTTGTGCTCCAGCCTTGGCTGCAGCGCTTCTAGCCTTAGTCGTCCTTGTTCATCGATAGATAGCTTCTTTAGTTAGTAGCCTGGCTCGGGGCATGCCCCATGCCCCAGGCTTCAAATCATGCGACTCCTGTCGCAATTCCATGCCCAGAAGCGATCCGCACTCCGAGTGTCTGGGCAAATCTCACATAAGTGGGAAGTGCAAAATTTGCAAATCGTTTAAGTCCCGGACTAAACGCGAGCGCGAGATTCGTCTCTGGGCCCTCCTTATGGAATCGACATTGGCCCCGGCACCGGCGCGCCGACCCGACCCGGCCCCGGGTACCACGTCATCGGTGCGGAGCAAAGCCCCATCCACCAGTCGGCATCACTCCCCGGCCAAGAAACAGGGCAAATCCCAGCGACGCCGTGAGAAGGACAGGGGTGAGGCCAGACCTGAGTTGGACAGCCCATGATCCCCACCGGGGCCCAGACCTCCAACTCGTGCGGAGCGGAGAAGTCCGGCACCTTCCGCATGGACCTCTGCGCTGGTACGGGTTCCCTCCACGCCAGAGGCAGCCCAGGCGACGCGCAACATCCTCGCCATGCCGGTACCGAGCGGGCCGTCCGAGGTGAGGCCCCGGTCCCGAGGGAAACCACCGTTGGGCTCCCAGCCCTCACCGGCTATGTCAGTTGTGGAGACCTCCTTCCGATCTGCCGGGCCCTCCCGTAGCCCCAGACATACCTCCACTCCATTGTCGGGGTCGCCTGGGAGTGAATCGCCTGAGTCGTCCTCGACCCGCAGAGGCAGCAGGCACCGACATGAGAAGCATCGACACTCCGCGTCGAGTGAGAGTGCATCTCGACGCCGACAGCACCGCCGATCATACCACGATGATCGCCACGTTCGGAGTGCATCCAGGCACCACGACGCCGCGCCCGGAGCCACTGAAGGGAGTCCAGAGATACGCCCTCCGACGTCTACACCTATTCATCGTCAAGGTCGAAATCCCGTGGCAGGAGCCGGCGAGGACGGCACCACTTGAGCTGCTCCCAAGGCACCATGCGATCCTCGGCCACCTCTGCCTTGGCCCCCAGCTGCCCCTCTCCGGCCCGCACCATTCCCCAGGAACAGATAACCCTGGTGGGACCCCAAGTGGTGCAGTGGCAAGGGGCACCCTGGCAAGGACAGTGGTGCCAGGGGGCACCATGGCCCCAGGCGCCCGCACCGCCGGGACCCCGTTCTCTGGCTGGGGCATCCCAAGCCCGCTCTGCGTTCCCGTCTCGGCACCAAGGGCAGTCCTCCGGTGCCGCACCGACGACACTGCAACTGGACCCTGATGCGGACTGTGGCATACCGGCACCGCCCAATGCTCTCAGAACCATCCCGGTCGCCCTGCAGGCACCAGATGAGTCCATAGCGGCACCGCCTCCTCCTTCTCAAGAGGACTTCAAGGCGCACCAGGAGCTCCTCCGACGTGTAGCCGCCAACCTACACCTGCAGGCGGAGGAGATGGAGGAACCATCGGACAATCTTTTTAATGTCCTCTCCTCCTCAGCACCGGGCCACGTGGCACTGCCACTTCTCCAGGGAGTGGCAAACATCTCCACAGGCCTATGGCAGACCCCAGCCTCCCTCCCGCCTATCTCTAAGAAGGCGGAACGTAAATACTTCGTGCCCACGAAAGGGCACGAGTATCTTTACACCCACCCCACTCCGAACTCTTTACACCCACCCACACCGACCCTGAAGGATAAGGAGGCCAGAAGACTGGACACATTTGGCAAAAAGGTTTATTCCTCAGCCAGTTTCCAACTCAGGGTGGCAAACCACCAAGCCCTCCTGAGTCGCTTTGACTTTAACTTGTGGGGCTCTTTGCCAAAGTTTGAACCTTCCCTCCAAGAGCAGAACAGAAGAGTTCAAAGCACTGCTTGACGTAGGTACAGCTGTAGCTAAAGCAGCTCTTCAGGCTGTCTCAGACGCAGCTGACACGGAGGCTCGTTCGATGGCCACGGCTATCTCCATGAGGCGGGCATTGTGGCTTTCCCGCTCAGGGCTGTCGGTGGAGTCCCAGTCTATAATGCAGGACCTGCCATTTGATGGCAAAGCATTATCTGCAGACCAGACAGACACCTGTCTGCACAGGATGAAGGACTCCCACACCACCCTGCAGACACTCAGTCTGTATGTCCCACCTGCCAAGGACAAGCCCAGACCGCAGCCCTCGGCTCCCCCGGCATGGGGCAGATACGAGCCCCCGCCTAAGAGGCAGAGAGAGCAGAGGCATCGCTCCCAACGCCAATCCCGTTCGGCCCCACAACCTGGGCCCTCGAAGGCCAAGAGGCCAGGGAAACAGCGTTTTTGACTCGTTGCGGGGGGGGTCATCGGGCCTGTTGCCAGTGTAAACCCCCCACCCCCAGTTAATAAAGTTGAGTTTTACCAACCGTTTATCGGCCTGACGCCTGCAATGGTCCCGTATAATGTCGGACCAATGGGTTCTCAGCACCATCTCCCAAGGGTACAGGTTGCAGTTCCTTTCGCTCCCTCCCCACCATCCTCCGTACCGGGAGCGGCCGGGGACCCGGAGCATGCCCTCCTCCTCAGTCAGGAGGTAGAGCACCTCCTCTCCCTGGGAGCATTGGAGAGGGTACCTCGGGAATTCCAGGGCAAGGGATTTTACTCCAGGTATTTCCTCATCCCGAAGGTGAAGGGCGGGCTTCGGCCCATCCTCGATCTGCGGAATCTCAACCAGTTCCTGGTTCGTTGCAAATTCTGCGTGGTGTCCCTGGCCACTATTATTCCATCCTTAGACCCGGGGGATTGGTTTACGGCTCTGGACCTCCAGGATGTGTACTTTCACATCCACATTTTCGAGGGTCACAGGCGCTTCCTCTGTTTCCTGGTGGGCCAGGACCACTACCAGTTTATGGTCCTTCCCTTTGGCTTGTCTTCTGCCCCCAGGGTCTTTACAAAGTGTGTGGCGGTGGTGGCGGCCCACCTCAGGAGGAAAGGACTGCAGATTTTCCCCTACCTCGACAACTGGCTGCTCAAGGGCAAGTTTCGGTCTCAGATGCAGGAGCAGATGAACTTCCTGCTAAACACCTGCGCAGCTCTAGGCCTAGTGGTAAACGAGGAGACATCCATGTTAGTCCTGGTTCAGCACATAAACTTCATAGGAGCGCTGTTAGACTCCAGGGTGGCCACGGCCTCCCTCCCACGGGAGAGATTCGAGACGCTCAAAGCTCTCATCGCCTCGGTCACGGCCTTTCCGGTAACTATGGCACGGGTGTGCCTTCAAATCCTAGGCCATATGGCAGCATGCACCTCTGTGGTGCGACATGCCAGGCTCAGGATGAGGCCCCTTCAGCTGTGGCTGGCCTCCCGGTACTCCCAGGCCAGGGATGGCCTGGACAAGGTCGTTACGGTACCGCCAACGGTGGTAGCAGACCTGCACTAGTGGTCCCTCCCGAGCAACATGCTTCGGGGTATCCCCTTCCGAGAGCCCCCTCCCTCACTAGATCTAGTGTCGGATGCCTTGGATCTGGGCTGGGAAGCTCTCGTCGGGGGGCTTCAGGGCCCAGGGTATGTGGTCTCCCGAGGAACTGACCCTGCACATAAATGTCAGGGAGCTCAGGGCCGTGCGCCTGGTGCGCGTGGCCTTCTGCCAGCACATAGAGTGGAAGGTGGTCAGAGTCCTCACGGACAATATGACCGCGACGTATTATGTCAACAGACAAGTGGGTACGCGTTCCCGGGCCTTATGCCAGGAAGTCCTGCTCCTGTGGGAGTTCTGTATAGCCCACGACATCCTCCTGAGGGCCTTCTACCTGCCCGGCAAGAGCAACATGCTCGCGGACTGCCTGAGCAGGGTGTTCTCCCAACAGCACAAGTGGTCCCTGCACAGGGAGGTGGCCGGGTGGATCTTCCTACAGTGGGGCACTCCCCAGGTAGACCTGTTCACCACCGCCCAGAATCGACTGTGTCCCCGGTTCTGCTCCAGGGCGGGAGAGGGCGAGGGTGCAATCTCGGATGCGTTCCTGCTCCCATGATCGGGGCCCCTGTTGTACGCCTTCCTGACATTCCCCCTGATAGGTAGGGTCCTACAGAAGGTGAAGTCAGACGGTGCGCGGGTCATCCTTATAGCCCCAGACTGGGTCCGTGAACATTGGTACGGGACCCTACTGCAACTCTTAGCGGCCCTCCCTCACAAGCTGCCGCTTTGCCCGGACCTCCTCTCCCAGGAGGAAGGTCATCTCCTCCATCCCAACCTGGCCCCACTCCGCTTGACAGCGTGGCTGCTCCGTGGTTGAATGAGGAGGAAGGGAGATGTTCTGAGGATGTGCGACGGGTCCTGCTGGAAAGTAGGAAACCCTCCACACATTGAACCTACCTGGCCAAATGGTATCGGTTCTCTATGTGGGTGAGGGATAGAGGTTCCTCTCCCTTTTCCGCATCTATCCAGCTTGTCCTCTATTACCTCCTGTCCCTTAGGACCCAAGGGCTGGCGCCCTCCTCTATCAGGGTGTACCTGGCGGCCATTTTGGCTTTCCACCCCCCGGTGCAGGGCCTGTTGGTGTTTTCACATCACATGACGTCCCGGTTTCTAAAAGGGTTAGATCGGGCATTCCCTTATGCTAGACCCCCAGTCCCGCTCTGGGACCTGAACCTAGTGCTCTCCCGCCTCACAGGGCCTCCTTTCGAACCCTTAGCCACATGTTCGTGGTCCTACTTGTCGTGGAAAGTGGCGTTCTTAGTGGCTATCACCTCAGCCTGCCGGGTCTCTGAGCTCAGGGCCCTGACCTCTGAACCACCGTATACGGTCTTCCATAAGGACAAAGTTCAGCTTCGCCCTCCCCCCATCTTTTTGCCGAAGGTAGCGGCTTTTCACATGGATCAGGATATTTTCCTCCCGGTCCTCTGTCCTAAGCCCCATTCCTCCAATGAGGAACGACGCCCGCACATGTTAGATGTGCGTAGGGCGCTGGCTTTTTACCTAGATAGAACCAGGCCATTTAGAAAGTCCCCCACCAGCTGTTTATTGCATCGGCCGAGCGCATGAGGGGGCGACCGGTCTCCACCCAGCGGATTTACCGCTGGATCACCTCATGCATTCGCACCTGTTACGACCTGGCAGGGGTTCCCCCACCTCCTATAGTGAAGGCTCATTTGACGAGAGCCCAGGCCTCGTCAGCTGCCTATGTGGCTCACGTCCCTATTCAGGATATATGTAGGGCTGCTACGTGGTCCTCTGTCCACACCTTCTCATCACATTATGCGATCGTCTCCCAAACACGGGATGACGCAGGGTTTGGTAGGGTGGTGCTCCGCCCGGGTAACCCCTAAAAAAAACCCCAAACACTTAAAACTCCTACCCACCTCCATCAGGTATAGCTTGGAGTCACTTATAGTGGAATACACATGAATAATCACTCGAAGAAGAAAGGACAGTTACCTGTTCCATAACTGGCGTTCTTCAAGATGTGTTGCTCAGGTGTATTCCACATCCCGCCCTCCTTCCCCTCTGTCGGAGTTGTCTGGCAAGAAGGAACTGGGGGGGGGGAGCACACAGTCCCCTTTATGGCACGATATAGAGGCGCAACTCCAGGGGTCGCAGCGGTGCTTCCCCTCTACGGGTACTGCTAAGGGAAAAACTTCCGGCACCGGTGCACGTGGCGAGCATGCACACCTATAGTGGAATACACCTGAGCAACACATCTCGAAGAACGCCAGTTATGGAACAGGTAACTGTCCTTCACTGAGCCTCAGCTATGGATCACCAACCTGATTTAATGTTCTCTCCCCCATCTCCAGTATTCAACTAGCTGGTGACCCCTCTGTGGATCATAAGCTGATATGTTTGTTCTAACAAACCATAGGTGGCAGTGTGGAGCTGGTAGCTGAGGGAGTGTGAGGAGGGGGACTGGTCACTCCTGTCCTGCTGGCAGACCCAGGTGGCTGCTGATAGTTCACTCTGACAAGCATCCGGTGGCTTATGCAAGCAAGAGAATCAGCTCTTGATCCAAAACTGAATCTCCATTTTAGTAGTGGCTCAGCCAGAGTGGGGGGATTACTGGAGATGGGGGTAGGCATGTTTGCTGGTGGAGGAGGAAGTATTGTTGCATTGTGGGGGACAGAGATTGCTGTCTCCGCTAGCTGAGAGACTACAGCACAGAGCAGGGGCTTATGGAAGGGTGGTACCATGGCTGGGGAGCATTTTAGGGGGAATCTGAACAGGACATTGCTGTAGAGGCTATGGGCAAAGAGGGGATTCCGACCTGGGGAACTGAGGAGGGTTGTTGGCCAAGGGAGTTGTCAGCACTGGAAGCTGTCAGAGACAGCTGCACCGATTGTGCCAGTGAGATGCTTCTACACTGTCACTCAATGAACTGAACCATAACTGATCGTGGCTTTACCTCTCCAAATTACATAGAGATTACCACCATAAACTGTGGTAATCTACAACATATTGGTGTGCTGGGTTGCTCTCAACCATTAACTTGTATAAGGAAGTTGTGATGGGGAAGAGACAAATGAGTAACAGCTGACATCCAAAATTTTAAACTGTCTGATTGATCTGCTTGCTTGAAAGCAAGTGAGAGGGTAATTTCTGAACTGAAGTTACATAAAATACTGAAGAGGTTTCTCAAAATACATGGAGGTGCATTGCCAGTGTAGTGTGCCAGTCCGTTTACTACCAATAGTGTGTTATGATACAACAACCCTTAATGCAGTCAGGCATTCTAAAGTTACATTTACTGTGTGTTTGTGTATACCGAGCATCTTTCATATACTGAATACACCTCCTCTCTATATTTCCTCGCAAATTTCACCCAGCATTTGACTCTCAACCTTACATTGTCTGATAGACAGGGAATCTCTGGCATAACAAGCATCACTTTTAAGGATTACAAATTGAAGACAGTTCTCTAGTTTGTAATTCTGTTGCATTTTACATAAGAACATAAGAACGGCCGTACCGGGTCAGACCAAAGGTCCATTTAGCCCAGTATCCTGTCTACCGACAGTGGCCAATGCCAGGTGCCCCAGAGGGAGTGGACCAGCAGGCAATGATCAAGTGATCTCTCTCCTGCCATCCATCTCCATCCTCTGACAAACAGAGACTAGGGACACCATTCCTTACCCATCCTGGCTAATAGCCATTAATGGACTTAACCACCATGAATTTATCCAGTTCTCTTTTAAATGCTGTTATAGTCCTAGCCTTCACAACCTCCTCAGATAAGGAGTTCCACAAGTTGACTGTGCGCTGTGTGAAGAAGAACTTCCTTGTATTTGTTTTAAACCTGCTGCTTTTTTAAATTTAATTAATTTTAATTTTAATTTAGGATGCTAATGAAGTTCAGCATGCTGGTCTTCCAAACATTCCTATGGCTCCAGAACGTTTAGACATTTTACCCTACATGGACTGGGAGCATGATACATCTGGATATGGATACCTGTTTTCTAATAGAGGAGTGGGTGAATCGGTAAATATGCTTAATATGTTCTTGTTTTTAACATTTTTTGTGTATTACTCAGTTGTAGTAGTAGATGGTTTATAAGGTAGCAGTTGGTAATTGTTTATAAAGTCTGCACCATTTCTTATTATTCTGGATGCAATTAATTACATAAATGTTTGTATGAAGTTCAAAAAAATTCGAGGACTCTCTCCCAAAGAAAGGCAAGGTACATAAAAGGTGTTATGGCATCAGGCCCCATTGCAGCAGAGATCTTTGAGAGAGAGAAGAGGGAGCTAGTCGCTCTTTACTCTCTTCCAGTGTAAATTCTTCCCTGTCTGTCTAGTCCAAGGCCTTGTCTTCTTTAGAGTACTCAGATGGTGGTACTTCTCTCAGGCTTGTCCTTGCATCTGTACCAAGGCTGCTTAAATTGATTTATATGTGGGATGTCATATATCCCTCAGCTGGTAAACCTTAGTTTGCTGGTGGAGTCCTCCTCTCTTACATCCACCATGCCTCATTCAGCACCCACAATACCCCCACAAAATACTACTACCCCTTTTTGACCCAAACAGCTAGTAAAAGTTTGAGGCGCTGGGGATATTCCGGTTGGGGGTAGAAATTGATGAAAGAGTCTGGTATATCTTTAATGCAGTCTTGTTTATTAACAAGGAATGTACAAGGTCCTATGTCCCCGAAGGCAGGAGGAACCAGAAAATAAATAGTTTCTTTGCTTATAGCCCCAAGCCTCTTTGGGTCTAGTGCTAGCTAAAGATCTCTCTCCCTCGGTTTTTCAGGGTCTTATACCATACTTACATTAGAGGCTGCTGTTTTACTCTTTTGGGCCATGTTTACACTACCAATTTGTGTCAACAAAAGTGATGTTGACATAATAAAAATCACAATTTCATATTCACACTTGCTTCCTCTGTCACAAGATCATGTCCACAGTGGGGGTACCATCATGGACAGTATGAGCAACGCACTGTGGGTACCTGTCCCACAGTCCTTCTGTTGCTGGGTATTGTGGAACGACGGAGCGGATCACGGCGCATGTTGAGACAGTGTTAAATGTCCCATGATGTATTGCTTTCTGTCCCGGCACTCCATGGGCTTCCGCCTATTTTGTGTTTTTTTCAACGGCCCTTCTTTGCTGTGCACCCTAGCATCTTTGTGAGAAGGAATGGATCCCGCACTGCTCTCCTATACTCTGTTAACTGTTATGAAGACATTGCGGATGTCAGTGCAGTTAATTGGAAAGTTTCTAACTGAGGAAGACTCACAGGTGCCTTATATTCTGCATGATATGGATAGGAGCAACTTTAGATTGCTTTTAGCATTCACTGAGCAGGTGCATAGGATAGACCATCGCTTTTGAGCTCGTAAAACAAGCACTGAATGATAGGATCACATCGTCATGCAGGTGTGGGATGACGAGCAGTGGCTACAGAATTTTCAGATGCAGAAAGCCACCTTCCTGGAACTGTGCGCAGCGCTCGTCCCAGACCTGCGGCTCAAGGACACCAGAATGAGAGCTGCCCTCTTGGTAGAGAAGCGTGTGACAATTGCTGTGTGGAAGCTGGCAACTCCAGACTGCCACCAGTCGGTCATGAATAAATTTGGAGTGGGGACGTCGACCTTTGGGGCTGCGTTAATGCAAGTGTGCAGAGCAATAAATCGCATCCTGCTACGAAGGACCGTGACTCTGGGAAATGTGTGTGAAATAGTGGACAGCTTTGCAGAAATGGGGTTCCCTAACTGTGGAGGGGCGATAGATGGCACACGTATTCCAATTTTGGCACCAGACCACATGGTGACAGAGTACATTAATAGGAAGGGGTACTTCTCCACGGTGTTGCAAGTGCTTGTGGATCACCATGGGTGTTTCACTGACATCAATGTGGAGTGGTCTGGGAAGGTGCATGGTGCACGCATCTTCAGAAACACCAGCCTGTACAGAAAGCTGCAAGCAGGGACTTTCTTTTCTAACCAGAAGATTAGAGTGAGGTGTGTTGAAATGCCCATAGTGATCCTGGTGGACTCTGTGTACCCCTTACAGCTGTGGCTCATGAAACCTTTCACGGGACACCTTGACAGCAGTAAGGAGCAGTTCAACAACAGGCTCAGTAGGTGCTAGATGACAATTGAATGTGCCTTTGGCAGATTAAAGGCGCGCTGGCGATGCCATCATGGCAGGTTGGACCTCACTGAGGATAATATTCCTATGGTCATAGCCACATGCTGTATGTTGCATAATCTCTGTGAAACTAAGGGTGAAAGGTTTGCTCAGGGGTGGAGTGCTGAGGCAGGCCACTTGGCAACTCATTTTGAGCAGCCAGATACCAGGGCTGTCAGAGGAGCCCAGAGGGGAGCTATTTGAATCAGGGAGGCTTTGAGGCAGCACTTTGACAATGACCACCAGTAACATATATCTCTGTCTGAGTTGCTTCAATGTTACATGCCATGTAGTTTTCCTAGGGGGCAATGGTGACATTTGGAGCCTTATATTCCTGTAATAAAGTGATCAAAATGCCTGTGCATCTGTTGGCAGTGCCTGCAATCCCACCTTGTAGCAAAAAATTAAAGATGATTTACCATTATCAAAGTTTACTTTTATTGCACAAGAAACAGCACACACCAACACACAGATGCTTGGCAGGAAAGGAGGAACCAGGGAAGGACAGACTTTCACAGCTGTGTGTAGGTCCAGCTATTGTTGTGAAAGTTGTCTGAGGGGGTGGAGTAAAGGGGAAACCAAGAAGTCCTGGAAGGTGGAAAGGAATGTGCAGGTGGAGCGGGGAGGGAAGGGTGATTCTCTTTTCTGTCCTGCCCTTCGGCTTCACAGCATTCTTTTCATTCCCTTTTTTCTGCATTGGAGCACTGCAGGACCTCCCGGAACATGTCTTCTTTGCTGCATCTTGAGCGCTTTCTTATCTGGTGGAGAATCTTGGCCGGGGTGCATGGGGTGTTCCTGAAGGCCACATCTGGTGAAGCACAGGGGACAATGCACAGAAGCGGGATTGTTAAATTCACATACAGAATTGAAACATTTCTGTTAAATACACCTTTTGCAACATTACCATCAATTTCTCACTGACCGTAGCCAGGCACACATCTCTGCGAACACCCAAAGTATTTTGAGTGTTGGTGGGGGGCAGTTCACATGGAGAAAAGAGCACACACTCTTTGCAAGGGTCATGGTGCAGCATATTAGGGAACAAATTAAAATTCTTCCACAGTTTTCCGCAGGCGGGGTCATTCTAGCAGATATCTCACTGCTAAGAGTAAGCAGGGAAACAAAGGTACATCTACTCCATGCATGTGGCTTCTGCCCTGCTCCCTATGCTGCTCGCCTGTGTGCTGCTTTGGTCCCTGCACAAGTGATTGCCGAATGGTGCAGGAAAGTTTCCTACAATGGGGAAAGGAACAAAGCTGCTCTGCCACGGAACCTTCAGCAGAAGATTACCGAGTACCTCCAGGAAACTTTCCTGGAGATCTCTCTTCAGGATTCCCATGAGATCTTGGCGTGCATCAACACCCTCTTCCCCTGTACAGATTAGCTACACAGGGAAATGTCCATCTCACAGAAACAGAGCCAGCCTCCCATATTTCTATGCCCTGAACCCACCTCTCCATTACACAAGCCATAGTCACTTACCAGGAGTCTCATCTCCTGCTTCTTGCTTGCCAGAGAGCAACTGCTGAGACTGGCTAGACACCTCTGGAGTGGAGAACAGTTCCTGGCTGCCTACCCTACCAGGTGACCCCACCAGGAGCTGAACATCCTCATCTAACTCCACCTCTTTATCAATAACTTCATCCTCCAGGTTAGGCCCTCCTTCCGCTGCCACAAGGCTCTTGGCATTGGAGGTGGGGTCGCCACCGAGGATAGCGTCTAGCTCCTTATAGAACCGGCAGATCTTAGGTGCATTACTGGAGTGATGGTTTGCTCCCTCGCCTTATGGTACGCCTCCCTCAGCTCCTTTATCTTCGCTCTGTACTACAGCATGGACTGATCACAGCCCTTTTCGCACAAGTCTCGAGAAATGTGCCTGTAGGTATCCCACTTCCTATGGCTTAAGGCAGCGGTGACTGCACAGCCTCCTCCCTCCATATGATGATCAGATCCAACAACTCTGCAGTGGTCCAAGCAGGAGAGTGTTTGCTGCGATAACCCACCATGGTCACCTGGGAAGATGTGATGAGACCTCCATGCCGAGCAAACAAGACATGGAATTTCTAAAATTCCCGGGGCTTCTAATGGGGAGGTTGTTTACCTGGCTGCAGGGCAGCGGAGTTCAAACTGCTGACCAGAGCGGTCAGGTTGGGCATTGTGGGACACCATCTGGAGGCTAATTAAAGCAATTAAATGAAGCGTGGTGTCTATACTGGCACTTTGTCGACAAAAATGTAGAGGAAAAAGACAGAAATCTCTCATGAGGGTGGATGTATTTTTGTTGCCAAAACCAGGCATTTTCCCTGACAAAAGTCACCTTGCAGTGTCTACACTGTTTGGGTCGACAAACGGCAGTTTTGGTTACAAAACTTGGTAGTGTAGGCAAGGCCTTGCTGTTTGTCTCTTTGAGATTGGGTGTGAATGCACTCTACAATTAACAGGTTTCAGAGCAGCAGCCGTGTTAGTCTGTATCCGCAAAAAGAACAGGAGTACTTGTGGCACTTTAGAGACTAACAAATTTATTAGATCATAAGCTTTCGTGGACTACAGCCCACTTCTTCGGATGCATATAGAGCATATTCCACTCTATATGCATCCAAAGAAGTGGGCTGTAGTCCACGAAAGCTTATGCTCTAATAAATTGGTTAGTCTCTAAGGTGCCACAAGTACTCCTGTTATTTCTACAATTAACATGACTGTCAGGATAAATTAAGCAGGACCCACCCTTCATTAAACAAAAGCAGTTGTGACTCCACCCAGGGAACATACATATCAAAATAGTATTCAGAATAACCCCATTAAACACTCAGTCCAAAACTCCTAGATGGGTTCACACCCCTTTTATCTTAGGGGGGCATCCTGCCAACCTTATCCTGACAGTAATGTTAATTGTAGGGTCCATTCACACCCACTTTCAAAGATGTTTTAATTTAGCCCATAACAAGGTTTCACCCAGCTCATAAGAATACTTTCCCTTTCACCCTGTTCTACACATCCTCAGCCAAGATCCCACAATGGGTAAGATCCTGTGTAAATCATGATTTCATTAATTGCATAGAAATTGTGAAATTAGTCCAATACCTTACTATTAAAAATGTGCACCTTATTTCTAGTCTGAATTTTTGCCTGGCTTCAGCTGCAGGGAAAGAAGTTAATTGTTTAATTGACAAGACAAATAGGCTTTGTGTTGAGCATGATGATGATAGATTGATACTGTGTCTAATGAAAATATGGTCTTAATCACAAAAAAAGTTGGTTTAAACTCCAGAAATATTTTGTTTTCTTATAATTTTACTCGACAGGTTCCTTTTCATGAAGTAACTAGTGGTTTTTCTGGCCACCTCCAAATTGGAGGAGATAATAAGCCGAAAAGTCTCCAATTTCAAAGTGACAAAGAACTTCCCTTGGTTGAACAGTGCATCTTACCAGATTCCATTGGATTCAGTTTTATAAAGACTGCTGAAGTTGAATATGATGCTGGTGCCACTGAAGTTGGACTATTTGCATCTATCTCTGAGCCACAACCAAAATTCGTCATGCATATTCAATCACCTTTACAATACAAATCTTCCAAGCCTCTAGCTCGTCCGCCTTTTCCTCAACGTTCACAGGCTACTGGCATTAATTTTTCTTTTCAAGCTCCTTGCCCTCCTCCTTGCCCTCCTCCTTGTGGCCAAGCTCCTCGGCCTCCTCCTTGCCCTCTTCCTGGTGGCCAAGCTCCTCCTCCTCCTCCTTGCCCTCCTCCTTGTGGCCAAGCTCCTCCTCCTCCTCCTTGCCCTCCTCCTGGTGGCCTAGCTCCTTGCCCTCCTCCTCCCCCTCTTCCTGGTGCCCCAGCTCCTTGCCCTCCTCCTCCTCCTCCCGGTGGCCCAGCTCCTTGCCCTCCTCCTTGTGGCCAAGCTCCTCCTCCTCCTCCTTGCCCTCCTCCTGGTGGCCTAGCTCCTTGCCCTCCTCCTTGCCCTCCTCCTGGTGGCCAACCTCCTTGCCCTCCTCCTTGCCCTCTTTTTGGTGGCCAAGCTCCTTGCTCTCTTTTTGGCCTTCCTCCTTGCTCTCCTGAATTCACTCAGGGGCTTTCTTCATATATAAAGAGCTCATTTACTCCTGTGGGCAGAACCCTGAAGAAGGCAAATTTTGAAGCACAAGTTACTCCTGAAGTTCTTGCTTCACCAGCTAGGTTAAGACTAGGATCACCAATGCTACAAACTGCACCAAAGCGTAGAGAAAAACTTCATCATCGGCTCAGCAAGGTTAGTAGAAGTCTGAATTATGCTTTGCCTTTCTCTGATGTTGAACATGTAGCCAAAACAAACAGGAGTAGTTGCTCTTGATTGCCCTGGACTTCCACATCAAGGGATGCTGAAGAAGAGGAGGTAAATTCTGCTCTTTTATAGTGATTTATATTTTGGAGGTTTAATTAACTTTTAATGGAGTGATATAAACTTGGATCTTGTTTCTGCCACCCTTATTCATGTTGATTAAACTTACTTTACTACACTAGTAGTCCCATAGATCTCAGTGGAATTAGTTGTGTGATGAAGTACTATTTAATATGAATAAGGCAGAATCAGGTTCTTAGTGAATATTTCTGTTGTGTGTGGTTGTTGTTTTTTTTGTTTGTTTGTTTTTTAAGGATCTTGTCTTAACAGCAATGAGGGAAAAAAAGCTTGGTAAAACATTACCACAGATGAGGATTCAACAAAGTCCACCAAGTGCTGTAACCTGGACTCAGATTTTTGAGCTCCAAAATCAGGTACAGTGCCGTTGTTTCCATATCTGCGTTACTTAAAAGCAAGATACAAGGAATAACTTTTTAAAAATTGTTTTTATTACAAATAGTGTACTTTGGGTTCTTCTGTTGGCATCTAAATGTAAATCTATGTCTAGTGAAGAGTTACTTCTGTTGGGTCCTACAGGAGAATTTACTTGGTATTCCTCAGGGTTCCTCAATATAAATAACAATATTGGTATCTCTGACAGGGTGCGCTGACCACTCTGGCGCCTTCTGCTGGCTGTCTTGGGAATTAGCTCTGCATGTTACTGTGCCCTCTTCGGGTAGTGCCTCGCCGCTGTCACTCCTGCTCTAGGACCCACATCTTTTGAAGGACCATGGCATCCTCTTCAGCGACACAGCCCTCTGGCCGTGCCACACACTGTGCTTCCCCCTTCCAGGGGACCTGCAGTCCACTGTTCAGCCACTTCCCTTAGTGGCTACTGCAGTGGATTGTGTGGCCACTTCCTCATGGCCCCAGCATTCTCTTTGCCCTTGCCTCAGGGCCTCTGTCATCCATTCCTTCCCCCCCCCCTCCCTGCTAGCAGCACTGCTCTGTCCAGGGTGCTGGCAGTTCTCTCAGCCCTCCAGAGACACAGTCCTTCCTCCTTGGGCTCCCAGCAGGGAACTGCATTCTCTGCCATGCAGCTCCCTTTTTATATGGGCCTGCTTGGCCGCTCCCTACAACCCTTCTCTGATTGGCTGCCTCCAGCACAGCCTCCCTAGGGATGCTTTTAACCCCTTTTCTGCCAGTGAGGGGCAGCCACCCTATCATACAATCTAATTTATTCTGTAGATTTACTCAGAAAGAAATCAATTTCCAATATGTTGCCTTTTTGAAAGCCAGTTTGTTGTTCAAAAAGCAGTTGCACTTTGAGACCATTCAGTCCTGCCATCAGATAAGCAGATTTGCACTGTGCAAATTCATCTTTCTTATTTATTTATAATCTAATTTTGTAAGATACATGATGAGACAAAATCTTGGTTGAATTTGTTGATTTCATTGGCAGCTCCAGTGATCAGACTAGGAATCCTCAAAATAGCCTCCTCAACCAAGAGATGTGTCTCAATATTTTTGAGATGCTGAAATTATAAGATAAATTTTCTAAATCTTCAACTCAGTGTTCTGGTACAATTAATAAGCAGTCAGAGTCTTTAGTAAAGTATTAATGGGAGCTAGAGTGAGAACAAAGAACAGCCATACTGGATCAGACCAATGGTACATATAGCCTGCTATTCTCTTTTCTGACAGTGCGTGGGCCCAAATGCTTCAGAGGGAATGAACAGAACAGAGTAATTATTTACAGATCCATCCCGTCATCCAATCCCAACTTCTGGCAGTCTGAGTCTTAGGACACCCAGAGCATGGGGTTGCATCCCTGACCATCTTGGCTAATAGCCATTGATGGACTTGTCCTCCATGAACTTATCTAATTCTTTTTTGAACCCAGTTATACTTTTGGCCTTCACATCATCCCCTGGTAATGAGTTCTACAGGTTGACAGTGTGTTGTTTGAAGAAATACTTCATTTTGTTTGCTTTGTTTACAATAATTTAATCAGGTGACCCTTCATTCTTGTGTTATGTAAAGGGGTAAATAACACACTTCATTATTCACTTTCTCCACGCTATTCATGATTTTATAGGCCTTTTTCATATCCCCCTTGGTCGTTTCTTTTCTACGCTTTTCTTTCCCCTCATATGGAAGCTGTTCCATACCCTTAATCAATTTTGTTTCTCTTTTCTGTATTTTTTTTTTCAATTATAACATATATTTTTTTGAGATGGGTCAACCAAAACTGCACGTAGTATTCAAGGTGTGAGTTTACAATGGATTTTTATAGTGCATGATGATATTTACTGTCTTATTATCTGTCCCTTTCCTAATGGTTTCTAACATACGATTATCTTTTTTCTCTGCCTCTGCACATTGAACATATGTTTTCAGAGAACTAGCCACAGTGACTCCACAATCTCTTTTTTGCGTGGTAACAGCTAATTTAGACCCCTACATTTTGTATGTATAGTTGGGATTATGTTTTCCCATGTGCATTTCTTTGCATTTATCAACATTGAATTTCAACTGGCATGTTGTTGCCCAGTCACCCAGTTTTCTGAGATCTCTTTGTAACTCTTCGCAGTCAGTTTTGGACTTAACTGTCTTGAGCAATTTTGTATCATCTGCAAACTTTGCCACCTCACTGCTTACCCCATTTTCCAGATTGTTTATGAATATGTTGAACAGCACTGGTACCAATACAAACCCATGGGGGACCCGCTATTTACCTCTCTCCACTGTGAAATCTGACCATTTATTCCTACCCTTTGTTTCCTGTCTTTTAAGCAGTTACTGATCCATGAGAGGATCTTCCCTCTTATCCCATGACTGCTTACTTAGCTTAAGAGCCTTTGGTGAAGGATCATGTTAAAGGCTTTCTGAAAGTCCAAGTACATTATATCTACTGGAGCTCCCTTGTCCACATGTTTGTTTATCCCAGCAAAGTATTATAATAGATTGGTGAGGCATGATTTCTCTTTACAAAAGCCATGCTGACTCTTCCCCAGAAATAGTGTTAATCTGTGTGCCCTTACCCAGTGACCAGTCTGACAGTGGTCAGGAGGAGGTCATTTCCCTGACTCCTCATCGTGGCCCACCATCACAATACAAGGGTCCTCCCCAATTCCATCGAGCCAACCCACAATTGTGATACAGGCCACCTGGAGTAACCCCTCTGCCCAAGCCTGCCCTCCTTCCCCCCACCCCCGTGGCTATATTGCAGTCCTTGGGCAACATACACACATGTTGCAGCTGTCCAGTGTCTCTCAGAGAGAGTCCACCAGATGGTCTCCTACAGCCTGGCTGTCCAGAGCCCCTGAGCTGGGGGAGGAGGAAGCTTTTTCAGAACAGGAAGAAAGACTCGAAGGGGAAGCTACCCCCCCAAGCAAACTTCTCCTCATCTCCACCAGATGAGGCTGTAATGTCTCTCTCCCCCCCCCCCCCGCCATCACTAGGTGATGATTTTAAGAACTTGCTGGATCATACCAAGAGAGTGGCAGATGAGCTACAGATTCCTCTACAGGAGGTGGCAGATACACATCACAAGTTGGTGAATATTCTGCACACCTCTTCCTCATCCAGAGTTGCCTTCCCAATTAATGAGGCTATTCTAGATCCTACCAAAGTCATCCAGCAGACTCCAGCCTCCACCGCACCAACCAGCAACACAGCAAAAAAAAGTACTACATCCCTCCCAAAGAAGCAAATTTGCCGGCAACATTAGTTTAGAGTCGTGAATTACCAAACTGTCATGGTCAAATAAAATTTTATTAATTATGGGAAACTCAATGCGTTTTTGGAGCATTTACTGGAGAGACACAAGGAGCAGTTTCAGACCATTCTTAGACAGGGTCAGTTAATAGCCAGACTGGTGCTAGAGACAGCACTGGATGTAGCTGATACAGCAGCCCGCCCAGTCTCCAGGACAGTGGTACTGAGGCAGGCTTCTTGGCTACACCTTTCTGCATTTCCCAAAGCTCTGCAAAAGATTTCCTGTTTGAAGGGCCCAAACTCTTTGCAGAGAAGACCGATTCTTCTCCCCACATTCTGAAGGATTCCAGGACCACATTACACTCCCTAGGAATCTACACTGCGGGACAGAAGAGAAGATATACCTCTCAGCCACAGCACAGGTCACAATCTCCTCAATACCCACCATCTCAGGCTGTTATTAGCCACAGTGTAAGAAGACCAGAGCTCAAAAGCAGAAGCAGACCACACCCCAGTCTGCGACCTCTCAAACCGCCTCTTCTAAGCGTTTTTGACGGGTTGGTCAAGGGCCTGAACAATTATACCTTGCAACATGAGCTGCCAGCTACACACTTGTCACCTTCAGAAGTCACCTGGCCCTATTTCACAGCAGTTGTGAGAATATCAGCACTGACAGATGGGTCCTGGAGATTATTTCGAAGAGTTATGCCATTCAATTCATGTCCCTCCCCATTCCAACCCTCCTTCCCTGTCCCCCTTCAGGGACCCTTCTCATAAGAACCTACTTCATCAGGAAATATATCATTTGTTATGCCTAGGGGCCATTGAACCAGTTCCAGTGCAACTCAGGAGCAAAGGGCTTTACTTTCATTATTTCCTGATCCCCAAAGCGAAGGGAGGTCGGAGGTCCATTCTAGATCTAAGGGTATTAAACAAATACGGGAAGGTGCAGACTTTCAAGATGGTCACACTAGCAAGGAGATTGATTTACAGCACTCGACCTACAAGATGTCTACTTCCATATCTCAATATAACCATTGTACAGGAAATTTCCTATGGTTTACCTTTGGGGCAGGACCATTATCAGTTCAGACTGCTCCACCCAGAGTATTCTCCAAGGTTCTCTTCATTTTAGTGGTGCACGAACCCCGGTACAGCAACTGGAGTTTATCCGCACCAACCTTGAGAGCGTTCCTCCCACTACACAGACTCGCCACCCTGGGATGAATGCTTTCCTAATAAGCTGGGGAGCTCACCTACACAACCACAAGGTTCAGGGCAAGTGACCTTCCATATCACTCTTTGGGAGCTAAAGGCTGTCAGGAATGCCTGTGCACACTTTCTGCCTTTCATCAAGAACACCCATGTGAAAGTCATGATAGACTTAACATGACTTGTATGTTTTACATAAATCACCAAGGGTGTGCCAGATCTCTCTCCCTCTGCAAGGAAGCACTCAAACTTTGGAATTGATGCACCCATCACAATGTGCTTATCTCAGCTGTCTATCTACCAGGGATATAGAACATGACAGCCGACAGTCTCAGTCAGAATTTTTGTCACGACCATGAGTGGGTACCGAACTCAGAGGTGCTTCAAGATATATTCGCCCTAAGGGGAACTCTGATTATGGATCTCTTTGCTACTTCCCAGAACAAAAAATGTCATTACTGCTCCAGGGCCAGCCTGGGGAAACATTCACTGGGAAACACCC